AAAAGCTGAAGGCCAAAGTACTGTCCTTCATTCTGTTACTGATTTTCTTTAGACACTGCTTCAGGGGAAATAACATGCTGAGCAGTCTGCACTGTAGGGGCGTCCAGTGAGAGGAAGAGCAGTTTTTCAAACACTGTTGATTTCCTGAAGTCAACAATTATCTCTTTTGTCTTGTTGACATTAAGAGATTGTTGTTGACTCCTCAATATTTTTCTAGATCTCTCATCTCCTCTCTGCATGCTATCTAATCATTGTTGTTGATGAGCCCTAGCACTGCGATGTCATCTCTAAAGTTGATGATATAGTTGCTGGGGTGCCTGGCAACCAGGCTGAGAGTCAACAGAAAGAACAATAAAGGTCTGAGGACATAGCCCTGGGGGATACTGGTAGTCAGGGTGACAATTTGGGAGGCCTGGTCATGGATCCTGGCTGCCTGAGGTATGTTTGTCAGGAAATCTGACAAAGAGCTGCAATGTCTAGTTTTAAAGCAAAATACCTGCTATGCAATATCTGTAATCCAAAAATTAAAAAACTCAAGTCAATAAATAATGAATTGTAACATGAGTGGTATTTATATTGGATAGTTTTGCCTTTAAGCAAAATGTCAGGAGTCAAGTGTAGGTGGGCTGGAGGTCTTGATAAGGGTCATGACCAGCTGCTAACAGTGCTTCATTATTATGTTTGTGAAAGCAACAGGATGCTAAAAATTAAGGTATGTTACTGTTGAGTTCTTCAGCTTTCTTTTGCCCGACAGGCACAGAGTCAATGACTTTGACACGAACTCAAAGATGTCTTATATTAGAAGTGATCCCAGTGGTTGTTAAGTGTCTTCTATACACTTAGCCTCAGATTAACCTCTGACAGTATCTAAAGATACACGCTTTTTACATCTAGCACATTTTCTTATCGCGCCCCCTTTACAGGCATGAAAAATGTATCGCCTTCACTTATTTTTATTTCCTGTCAGTAATGGAGCCGAAAGTACATATAAGGTTTGGGCTGTCTCTGGCCTACCTTCTGTAAAATTATGACTCCTTCCTGGGTATCTTTGTCTGGCACGACCCTGAACACCCCAAGGCCGTCGCCCTCTATAATTCTGTAGTCCATCTCAGCATTTGGTCCGATGTCAGAATCCAAAGCTTTTATCTTGGCCACCACTGATGCCACAGGCAGGGATTCAGGCACAGCAAACTGATAGGATTCTGAAAAAGAGGCCCGGCAAACACACACACCCACACCCACACACAGTGGTTATTGATGATGCTATTTCTCTTTTTTCCTTCCTTATCACCCAGCTGTTAGGGCCAGGTCTGAACTAATAATGTATCTCTCTGCTCCGTAGCAGGTAAGCCACTCTAGATATAGCAAGCACGAGGATAGTCTAAGCTCTACACACTTCCGGACACATACTGATTCCGCCAATGGTATCATGCAGCGAGAAGTGCTCACTAACACAGATTTAGACAGATTTGTGAACAATATTTGAGAGAAATAGGCCTTTTGTGTACATAGAAAAAGTCTTAGATCTTTGAGTTCAGCTCATGAAAAATGGGGGCAAAAACAAGTGTTGCATTTATAATTTTGTTCAGTGTATATACATATAAATACAAGGTTCAGTATATAAAGCTGTTTAAACTAATGAAGCTTGTTTTCTGTTGAGCTCCTTGTAATATAAATGATTTAAATTCAGTTGATTAACTTGTACTGATATAATCAGTAGCTGCCTTCTCAGACTTTCACTGCAGCAGTGTTTATTCCTACCTTGTAAATGTGTTTCAATTCATGGTATTTTTTCATAACAATCTCTTCATTTTCAACAGAGAAGTGAATTGCGCTGACTCTCGTGATAAGTCAATCAAACTGATGCTTTCTTTCCATGTTCCTTGTGATTGGCTGTTTGCAGCACGTGTCACACTTGCAGGTGCACGTGCCTCACAAACTCTGGATCACACCTGCGTTGACAGAGAACGTTTATACCGAGTGTTGTGCAAAAGCTGATCCTGATCTAAACTGGGTTGGGTTTGTCCGGTTTTGTCAACTCAAAACTTACTTTGCAACTCTGAGTTTGTTCATCTCTCTTTATGCTACAGGCCACAGGTCTAAAAAGGATGGTTCACAAACGAACAAACAAAAATTATTTTACAGCTGATTTTAAAAAATATTGTTATTTTCTATGCAGATGCACCCCCCTAAAAATCACCTCAATCATTTTAGAATGATTAATTATTTCCTGAAAAATTTTCATAATGCAGCATGTATTACAGAAAAACAAAACAATGTAAGTTTTTCCAATATTCTGCAGCCCTGGGAACAATTAATAAACAGTGCTTCTGTAATATAGTCAATTCTTCTTAACTGTAGGCTGTTTACAGTAACTAACATAGCAAAATTGCACATCAATATAGATTATGTGGGCACATGTATAGTCATTTTACAACAACTTCTGAAGAGATTCTGGCACACAGAGCATGCAACTTTATCCTGAATGTGCCTTTCAACTATGGTTGCCCTTAGAATATAAAATACCCATTTTCAGAAATGTAGATTTCCTCCTTTATGATTTTCAGGGCCATTAACACCTTACCTAACATTGCCTAAAGACAAATGACTTTGAGGCTACCTTTTGGTAGCTAGCAAGCCACTGTCTCATTCTTACAGACAAATAGAAGAGGACATTACAATCTTCTCTGCCAAAACCCATTTTAGAGACTGTGGATGCCTCTGACAATGGCTGATTGTCTATGAGGGCAAACCTGCAAACTTTGGTTAAGTGCATCCACATTTATGGATATGGGTTAAAAATGTAACCTCATGATGGACATTATTCCCCTCTATCACTCAAGTCAGTATGGTTATGGCTGTCTGTGCGAAGACTGCAGGGAATCGAGAGAACAGATGCACTTGAGTGAAGGTCATGGTGAAAATCAGCTTCAAAAGTTAGGTGGGAGAGGAAGCTGCAGTTCTGCCCATCGGCTACAATCAGGACAAGACTCGATCAAGCTACAAGGTTTCTGTAGATGCCAGTGGACAGCGGTCACCTCAGCAGCACAGCATCTGTTCACAGCCTGGTCAGAGCACTCGTACAGATTGAATGATTATGCTCTATGTGCCGTACGGCAAGATAGACAGACGCATCATGCACAAGGGACACAGTTTGAAATATTGATCACCCAGAGGAGCGCAAACTATTAGCTCAGGGAACCTTGGGATAATGGCATTCATTGTGAAATTAAAGGCTCAAATTTTATGAAGGATTTCATCCTAATAGAATTTGAGATTGCAAAAATCGAAATGCAGCTGCTCGAATCTTCCCCATACAAACTGAAAGTAAAGGTATTTTTCAATAAAATATCCATCTGAATGGCTCACTTATGAAGGGCAATTCAAGCAGTATCAATTTATGTAATTGACAGACCTTGTTGGACAATAAAAAAGAACACCAACACATCTACTGTACACAAATCAGGCCTCTTTCACATATCATATTTTGTGTTTAATTCTTTGTTTCAGCCAAGAAACATAATTATTGTCAGTGTAACCTTCACAAATGTACAGAAGACCTTCAAACCATAACAGCAACCATATAAATTGCACAAGCTAATTTGAGGTCACTCACAGCTTTCAATAGCCAGGATGGTGATGTTGTGTACAGCATTGACTTCTCTGTCTAAAGGCTTAGCCGTGCTGATGACTCCTGTTGTTGACTCAATGTTGAAAAATCGCTCCAAGTCCGTGTTTCTGTCTATTGAATACCTGGAGAAAAAAGTTTGAATGAATTTCAAGCTTTGACTTTTAAATGAATTCTATAGATATGACATAAAGTCACAGCCCCAACAGCAATCATTATTTTCAGTGGCTCTTAGGCACAGAACTGCTTAATTATGAGCATTTGTCTTTCAGCACTAAACACCTGAGTCCCACAACTCATTTACAGTCAACATTTGCATCCGCTCCCACATAAACAAATAAAATAATTGAATGCAATAATAATAGCACTAATGACTTGCATATGTATTATCTTAGGCCTGTTTTATATTAACATGTGTTTATGTGATTTGCTTGAAATCAGATAGCATAGCACTTGACCCTATTAAATGTGTAATGTATTGTGTAAATACTCAAGACACACTGTGACGCATTGTCTTTATTCACATGCAACTATGTGAATAATATTATGTTCACTACTGTTCAAAAGTTTGGTATCAGTAAGGTTTAATTTTTAATGTTTTTTTTTCAGCAAGGATGCATTTAATTCATCAAATGTGACAGTAAAGACACTTATGATGTTACAAAAGATTTATGTTTCAAATAAAGGCTGTTTTTTTCTCCTTTTTTTCTCAGGATGCATCACATTTTCCACACAAATATTAAGCAGCAAAAACTGTTTTCGACATTGATAATAATAAGAAATGTTTCCTGAGCAGCAAATCACCATTTTAGAAGGATCGTGTGACAACGAAGACTGGAGTAATGGCCGCTGTGCAATAACACAAATACATTACATTTTAAAATATGTTCATTGTAACATGTTTAAATTGTAACAATCTTTCACAATATTATCAGTTTTATTGTATTTTTGACCAAATAAATGCAGAGCTGGCGAGCATATAAGAGTCATCTTTCAAAAACATAAAATCTTATGTGAGTTTTTGCAAGCCATTTTGCACAGATAACTGCGGTCAGATTTCTATCCGTAGACATATTAGACTGCAAGGGGAGAATGCAATTCAGCTAAGGTCTGACTAGATATTATCTCGATACCAAAATCAGGTAATATTTTTTTATTAAGGTTTTAAAGCTTTAATTAAAAATGCTGTAGTCTTTCTCAAGATTTAATCTTGCCTTTATAAAACCAGTATCACTATGGTGTAAAGTCATTCCATGAGGCCATGTCCTACCTAATGGGGCTATTGGTTGAATCTGGGTCCAGAGCAGAGATGGTTCCTATGATGGTTCCCATTTTAGCAGCTTCAGAGACAACCATTTTGCTGAGCGGAGAGAAGATAGGAGGCTCATCTACATTATCCACAGTCAGCCTCACCATCGCTGTATCACTGAACGGTCCTTGAGACAAGAACCGTGGGTCTATGTTCCTGTTGGATGCTTCAATTTTCAGAGTGTAGCTTGACTTTTTTTCAAAGTCGAGATTCTGAGGTGAAGAGCACAAAAGCAGCAAGGGAAAGTGGGGGGAAAAGTTTAGAAACAGTTTTTAAATTATAAACAAGGACAGAGAATATGTGGTAAGTATCCAGGCAATTCATAAACAGAGTTCACATTTGAAATCTAGCTGTGATGTGTGTACATATAGCCTATAATCCATCCAAGAACCCTTGATCCACTCTTTTTATTTCTCATATTTCATTTAAGTATTGTTATCAATTGACAGGACAGAAAAGAACAGTGTCAAAGCAGTACATTGATTTTAAGAAAGAGATACATGATGCTGAAAATGTCTTGTGGAATCCTTTCTCATATAGTCATTTATCACTCCTGCCTGCTGTAATATGCAGTGCATTCAAAACTACCTTCCGAGCCTCCTTCATATCACTGACAAAACATAACTTCCCTGAGGGTGCAACAAAGCCAAATCCAGCACCTGTGAACGTTTAACTAGTTTTAAAATGAGAAGTCAGAGTCAGTTTATTGTCAATTCTATCCTACATAGCTTCCCTGGAAACCACAATGCAAATATAAAACACTGTACTGCATATACAATGTACAGAGTTCAAAATGCAAGTTTTCAAACAGATTATTGATGTATTCATGTTTGTTGCATATTTAGTTGCAAGCTTTCTACAAATATTTCAGTCTATTTTCTCTTTATAAATGTCAAGTGGTGTAACCAAGTAAAAAGTAATAAAATACTTCCCATATAGCTTGAATACACTTGAGTGCACAAATCTGGTCAATACATTCTGAAACACTGTTTTATTCAAACTAAAATGATGTTTTTCAAGAAAAAAAAATAAATAAATAAAAAAATAAAAAACACACACACCCACACCCACACACAGTGGTTATTGATGATGCTATTTCTCTTTTTTCCTTCCTTATCACCCAGCTGTTAGGGCCAGGTCTGAACTAATAATGTATCTCTCTGCTCCGTAGCAGGTAAGCCACTCTAGATATAGCAAGCACGAGGATAGTCTAAGCTCTACACACTCCCGGACACATACTGATTCCGCCAATGGTATCATGCGGCTAAAAATAGGGACAGAAATAACTATGACAATGATCTAAAAAATCTTATATTATAAAAGAAGATTGTTCGTTTCTATTCAAAATATCATCTACCTGATAATTACACAGCAACTACAGCGAGCACTTGATCTCTATAATACAAGATCAGCCTGAGTCATTAAAAATCTCAGATTGCTTGCATGCAAATTAAATGGGGAGGCAGCATGCAATAATGATGGATCGGGTCCACGTTTGGTTTATAGCCGGTAGAAGAATCATACTCCTTGAAAAACGGGGTGGGTTGTCGTTAACGTCCGTAAGTGTGACCGTCACCGATGTGGTGCCTGAGAGTCCTCCCATCTGACCAACCATGTCTTTGGCATGGATTACCAGCAGATATTGATTCCGTGCTTCTCGATCCATGTTGGGCAGAGCCGTCCTCACAATGCCTGCACAGAAACGTTGGACTGTTTTAGTGAATGTCTTGTTGCCTAGTGTTGATTAAAATGTAAGAAATATGGGGGGTTGTTGATGCATGAGATGTACTGTGTAATGATAACATCCTCCTGGCCTGTAAAAGCTGTGAAAAAGCATCTAGATTACAATATGGATCACTTCCCTACTGCATTATAGGGAGATGGAGTATGCATCAATTAAAATAGGATTACCATTTAGTAATCTAAATAGCAAGGACCTTTTCCAGATTTGTTAGGCCATATCATAATGGATCTCTCATCAATGAGTCAAATTCACTGAGGCCAGTTGAGGACTGTAAATCAATTTCCTCTCCAAGTCATTGTTAGTTTTGGAATTATCATTGCTTGGCACACCCGAGAGTGATTAAATAGTACCTACTTCCTTTTTGCGCACAGAAAGCTGCGATAAATCCTAATCAATAAGCGCTGCTATTTGCTATATCTGGCTTCATTTTCCTCCACATGTTGTGGTGTCTATAAAATTAGCTGCACACTTTAAAAGAAAACGGAGAAAAAGTTTAATCAAGCTTTGTAATTTACCCTGTTGATTGAGTCCATATGTGGAAATGACCTCAGTTACAGCTAGAGTGCTGATTACATTAAGGATTTCATTCCCTGTAATCAGTTGGTAATGTGCGCCAGTAACTTCATCACAAGTCCCATCCACTTTTTTTCTGTCTTTAAGTGAGTCAATCAAAACAGCATTCTCTTGACGTTTCCATGTTTCCATTCCAGGAAATGGTGGTTACCGTGTCATAGCTTTGAAAAGACTCGTCGCTCAAGTGATTTTGTGATATTGTCCACTGTTTACCTAAAGAGCTTGATTGGTGAGAATGACTCAAAATTTTGCTGCTGGATAACATTTTAGTGCTTAAATATTTTACTGACAATATTGCAAAGAAATATTGTGTGTACCTGTCTTTGGTTCCACAGAGAAATAGGGTTGTCCTTCAAGGATGCTGTACACGACTCTGGCACTGTTTCCATATGTGGGGTCATCTGCGTCAGTCGCCTTAACCTCAACCACAGATGTGCCTGGAACAAATTATCCACGCAATTTGATCAAAATGGTACCAGACATACACTGGCATTGAGCCTCACTTGATTACAGAACTGAAATCTGATGTAGACTGAAAACATCAGAAAACATGAACAGGATCAAGTAAACCAATAAAGAAACATTTGGATGCAAATAAGTAGATTTCCATTGATCTGTTTCAGCAACATTTTTGAAAGAAGACTCTCCAAGCCTGCATTTATTTGATCAAAAATACAGTAAAAGCAACGATATTGTGGAAATATTATTACAACTTCAAACAACTGTTTTCCATTTTTAATATATTATAAAATATCATTTATTCCTGTGATATGCATTAAAAGAGGCTGCTCTTGCCTCCCTTAACCATCTGACATGCTGTCAGTCACATAAACGAGGCATCTGCTGCTGATCGCTATAGCATACATGAAGTTCATCATTAGAGTGTTTTGTAAGTAATTACATTTAATAAAAGAGACACAGTGGCTTCCCCAGTGACAACAACTTTCATTTCCATTGTGCTTTAATTTCCCCAGAAATTATGATTTTGTTCTCTTGAACACATGCGATGGAAACTCTGCTTTATCCATATATTATTTTCACAATTGTTTTTCACATTTTTCAAATGTAAATGTAACGTAACTCAGATAGAAACATATCTTGTGTTGGCTTCTGCAGTATTTTGTATTCTTGTGCTTGTCTTGATTACAGAGTGCAAAGCTGGTGTTGCCTCAGTTCTCATTAAGCCATGCATCCTTGCAAAAAGCCCAGAAGGACAAAACAAATATAATCAGAAGCCAAACACACACTTTAAAGAAAATTCTGTATGTGGCCTGCACTTGCTTTTCGCAACACATATACTATTGTTGAAAAGTTTGGGGATGGCAGGATTTTTTTTTCATTGTTTTTGAGTGTCTTATGCTGCATTTATTAGATCAAAAACACAGTAAAACAGTAATGTTACAAAATATTGATACAGTTTCAAATATCTGTGTTATATTTTAATCTAAAAGAACTTTCAGTAGCCATTACTCAGTTTTCAGTGTCACATGATCCTTCAGAAATCATTTGTATATGTTGATTTGTTGATAAGAAACATTTCTTATTATCATCACAGTTGAAAACAGTTATGCTGCTTAATGTTTTGCATGTATTCTTGTCTATTTCTTTTGAATTCTTTGATGAATAGAAAGTTAAAAAGAACAGCATTTATTTGAAATAGATTTGTTTATTTATTTTGTAAAAAATGTACAAATCTTTACTTTTTATGCATCATAGCTAAATAAAAGTAATAATTGCTTTGAAAGACTTAAACGGTAGTGTAGATTTATTACTTCATCATTTATTCTGTAGAACTGGAGCACAAAGGGACGTTTAGTGCTGCTTTACTGGCTTACTGATATTTCCCAGATTTGATTTAAACTGTAAAAATGGCTAATGGAAAGTGCCAGGCCTTCATTTGAGCACAATTTACGGGCCGCTCCAGACTGCGGTGTTTCTCAGAAATGCAGATTATCATTAAATGCGTTTGCTTGTAAAAAAAAAAAAAACCACAAAAAAAGCAAAGGAGACATTTGGGGACAGGCCCAGATGTTGTCATATTGGTAACCTAAGCATCTGGAGGCACAGCTGAGTGTACAAAAACACAGCACCATGGTAACACCTCACCACAGGGACCGAGGCCAAATGACTGTTACTCTTTATCTGATGGCGTGATGTGATTTCATCTCTTATAGGTAACCTTGTACCTCTGCAGAATCATTTCAGGCACTTTAGATTCAACAGGCCGGTACATTTATAGGCAGTTAAGGACACCGGCATATGGTCAGCCCTTAAATACACATCATAGCGAAACCGCAATGTGTGAAAGTGATTGGATGGGAGTATAAGGCATATGTTGTGAATTTCCATTTGGCCTCATGCTGACGTCTGGCTTGAGGGAGAGGTGTCTGTGTTAGGTTGTGGTCCTCACACTTGCAAACAATCTCCTGTTTCTTAATTACCAAATTAAATTAATAATTTTCACGTTAATCAAATCCATTCATCACCGGTTGATATATATGATGGATATATAAATACTTCAAGTTAATTTAGGCTAATAACATTATAACAAACAGTGTGAAAGATTTGCTAAAGATAAACTTAACAGCTAATATTATTAAGGCAAGACACCCCAGGTGAATATGGTAATATTTTTTTTACTAATAGGTATCACCTTCTTCAGTTGATTGATTACAATAAGAACTGCAAAATAATTTTTGTATTACAAGTTTCTGCAAATGAGGCATTATCTAATTAAATATACACTAATTTGAATACAGAAATCTGAACACTGGATAAAGCCAAAATTCTTGTTTCATTTTGTTGACATATTAAGGCCTTTCCACACTGAGTGCGATGCGAAAAAAGCAAGGCGAATCGCAGACGAACTGTGCTTTCACGCCGAACGCGAAACGATTGTTCGCCTTCTGCTTATTCACACCTGCACACTAGGCGGCGCCAACCAACAATGCATTTTTCCTCAGATATGTATCTCGTAAATTTCATTGAGGACAAGGGTCGCTTGCATTCACAGAGGCTAATGGCTTTGTTCACGCCGTTGGACAGACAGTGGCAGCCAGCATGTTAATCGCTCTTATAAAAAAGCATGTCAATGCTTGCATGATTGTCAGCTACTACACTCTGCGTAGTCGAACTGACAAACAAGTGCCCTGTACCGGGTGCATTCATTATGTATATTACTGTTCTTAGGTGATCCTCAGCTCACACTCAACACCTAAACAAATTCTTGACACAATTACCAATAATCATTCTGAAATTGGATGTCAAAATATCTATTATGGATGCACCAATATTTAAACCCTGGCCGATTTGAAAAGCTGATATTTGTTTAATGTTTATAACTGATTACTGATAAATGGTATACTATTTTGTCCATATATATATAGATTAGGGCTGCACGATAAATCGCATGCGATATTTAATGCACATCTTGTC